TGTTGATTTGTGGAACCGGTTGCGGCGTGGCATAGTGGAGGTGGGGTCCCTTGATTGTTTCAAGCGTGGGTTGGACATATATATATATATATATATATATATATATATATATATATATATATATATATATATATATATATATATATATATATATATATATATATATATATATATATATATATATATATATATATATATATATATATATATATATATGAATGAGTTTGGGTGGATATAAATAGGAGCTACCTCGTATGAGCCAATAGGCCTTCTGCAGTTACCTTGATTCTTATTTTGTTGTTGTTTTTATGTTCTTATGTACCCTACGGCCTCCACCAAACCTCAACCTATCCCACTCCTGCCCCACCCACTCATTTTCCCATCCCCACTTGCTCCACTCTTCCATTTTCCAACCCCAACCCTCCATGTACCCACTCTGCCCTGCACCCGTCTCGTGCCCTGCTCGATACACCTAACTGTGCTTGCGGGGTATGAAATCGTCAATTTGGTCTCGCCTGTCGTCCTAAGTTTTAAGAAGGCTTTCATAAATGTGTTGTATCATATTTTGTACTCTGCAGGGTGGTGTCCAGTCTTTTTTCGAGCGCACTCAAAATTTTATTCCAAGTTTCAAACTCAGCAAAAGATCTTGCCCAGGACCTCTCCATGACTAGTTAGCAATGCAAAACAGCTGGTGATTTTTTTCCCAGTGTTACTAATCGGTAATCACTGCTGGGGAGTCCATTTAACGCAGTTTTATTTAGCAGACTCCGCAGGAATAGTTGTTATATTATTATTATTATTATTGAGTGTTACTAAATAACTATGTCATTGTTACAAATCCTGAGATCACGAGAAACATTATATTGTAATAAGGTAAACCATCTAGAAACTTATTAAGTATCGACATCGGAGTGCTTACTTATCAGTTCTTACCGAACAGTGACAACGGCAAAGTGTGAGAACTCGCTCTCTATATCTTTGTAGTTTCTGCGTTATAATTTAACTGTCTTGTCGTCCGAAATCCTTGTCGTATCTGGCCTTAAAGTTGTGGATGAAGGTGTAAACTACTTTATCTTTCTGTGCATTCCACTTGCTGTCCACCCGTACTGGTTACGAGTATTTTCTTAAGATTCTTAAACACACTTGCGTTTCCAGTTTCCACCAGTGCTCTCTTGTCCTACTGTTTCCTACTGGGATTTATTAATCGAAGCGTTGGTAACAAGACACCTGGTGTTGTTCTTCAGCTATATCTTGCTCTGGTTAGGCTCCATTTAGATTATGCCGTTCAGTTTTGGTCGCCGTGCAATTGAATGGTTATAAATTCACTTGAACATGTTCAGCGTAGGATATTTTATTTATTTTTTTATATATATACAAGAGTTCTTAAATTCTTGTACTGCCACTAGTACGCGTAGCGTTTCGGGCAAGTCCTTAATCCTATGTTCCCGGGAATACGACCCCCGCGAAGAATCGTTTTTACAACTAAGTACCCATTTTACTGTTAAGTTAAACAGAGGCTACAGTTAAGGATTTGCACCCAGTAAATCCTCCCCGGCCAGGATACGAACCCAGGACAAAGCGCTCGCGGAACGCCAGGCGAGCGTCTTACCACTATGCCACAAAGACTGCCACGGGTGCCACGGGATGACAAAGTTAATCCCCCAAATTAGAAACCTGTCATATGCAGAAAGATTAACAAATTTTAAAGTGCATTCACTGGAAAGGCGAAAAGTTAGGGGTGACATGATTTAGGTTTACAAGTGGATAAATGGACATAACAAAGGGAATGTTAATAGGGTATTAAAATTATCAACACAAGACAGAACACGAAATAATGGTTATAAATTGGATAAGCTTAGATGTAGGAAAGACTTGGGTAAATACTGGATCGTTAACAGGGTTGTTGATGTGTGGAACCAATTACCGCGTAACGTGGTGGAGGTGGGGTCCCTTGATTGTTTCAAACGTGGGATGGACATCTATATGAGTGGGATTGGGTGATTTTAAATAGGAGCTGCTTCGTATAGGTCAATAGGCCTTCTGCAGTTACCTTCGTTCTTATGTTCTCAATTTAAAAAGCTTGTCCTTGTTCATCTTGTATATTTCCCTCGGTATCTTATATGTTGTGATCATACCACCACTGTTTCATCTCTCCTCTAAGGTTGTGTTATTTAGTCCGCTTATGCAATTCTCGTAACTTAACCCTCTTAGTTTTGGTACAAATGGTGTTGCATACCTTTGCATTTGTGATTTTTGCATTGTGCTTCACAATGTACGGATTCCAGGCTTGGCGCCGCATATTCCAGTTTGGTCTAACATAAAACGGCGTAGATTACCTATAATGAAACCTTATTCAGGTTTTTAAATGACCAATTAATTTATTTAGTTATTTACAAGAAGGTAAATTGGGTTGTGAGAGTACATAACATTGGTGTATTAGAGTTACATTGTTGCGAAGTCACTAACACGTGCACGTTGCGGGCCGCCTTCCACGTGAGGCTTTTGTTGACCGGTTTGTGTGCCTCTGGAGCTGTTCTTTTTCGATTCTTATAGGAAGTCTAAGTCTTCCTATAAGAAGTCTTCCTATATGAAAAACTTCCTATAGGAAGTCTTCCTATAAGTCTAAGATTTATAAGAAGTTTAAGATGGTCTCCTTTTTTTCGTTTCCCATATTCATTACCTTACACTTGTTGGGATTAGATCCTAGCAGCCATTTGTGTCCCTTGTGGTGGAATACAGCCCGTCTGTCATGAAGTACAATGTGTTAAGGCATGCGTGGTAAAAAAGCAAGGTTCATCATGGTATTACACCGCCATAACTCCAGCACTCTTACATCATATATTTATATATTGAGTTTTTCCCATGTGTTGTTTATGAGTTCATAAATTGTCTCGGTTATCTGCCTTCCTCATGTTCCACTTGGCTTCACATAGTTGCACATTATATCAGACAAAGGAGTAATGTTTTACATTTTCATATTCTTATATATATGAAATATTATGTCTAAAAGTTTCTCTATTGTAATAAGTTGAATTCCCTCGTGTTTTATAGGTGTTTAGAACTTGTAACTGCCACGTAAGATTATCCGGTGTTGATAATTGGAACTGATAAATGCATATATATGTAGCTGGGAGGACGGTCACTGGCTGGTCCGGAACTTGTATTGTGTTTCTATTACCACAGTGGATATTGTGGCCGGTGATTCAGGTCCCGAGCGACGTAGTGCAGTGGACAAAGTGTTGGTGCGGGTATGCGCAGTGAGAGGATCAAAATCACAGGTGGTATTTGATACAGACGGTTCAGGGAACATCGAGACTACCAGCGTGTTGTGCTCAATCGGTGGACGCCATTATTGATATGTGATCTGTCTTGGTGAATAAAAGAAATTTGTGGTTTTGAAAACAGTAAAACAGTAAAATTATGCATTATATTGAAAATATCCATCAAACTGCAGTTAAAACGCAAGGAGGGAAAGACATGGAAGTAATGTAAGAGAGGGGATAAATGGGACTGGCAAGTTACAGTAAGGTGATTGGATGCGTCTATCGTCGAGGGTTGAAACAGCAGTGATCAGTGTCGGGGGTCACGCCTCCCGCGCCTCTCATCACCCTCCCACACCACCCTCTGTAACTCGCCTTGTTCTGACGTCACACCCAACACTGACGCTCCTGGCACCACGTCTGTGATGCATGACGCAAGATGATGCCATGCCAGAGTGCTTGAGGTACTTTCCTGAGTCATACGTAAACCCTTGTCAGCTGATGTAACTACCCATTTTGTCTTTCTGCAACCCCTTGAGTTTAGTCTAATCACCTTGATTAGTGTTGCTACTTTCACCTGCGACCCGTCTTGCTTGTATCCTTCTACAGTGCTACACTACTTTTCCCGTTGCTTGCAGGTTGCACACTACAGATACTCGCCATCCTGGCAGATACCTCTTATCCTCCTTACTCCCCTCTCTCTCTCCCCTCCTCTCCGCAGACTGCCCTCAGTCATTTGGACGCCACTGGCCACTTCTACCTCTCGAGTCGAACTCTCTTGAATGAATCTGTTATCGTGACCCTCAGTACCTTCATATGTGACTTTATTTTTCATTATCTCCTTTATAGTCATGCGATACCGACTCAAGAGCCTCATTCAGTACAGGAACGCGTTTCGTGAACTGGAGTGTAGTGTGTGCAAGCTGTGATAAGCTCACCTATCGCCAGTTGCTATGTGTCGGTGAGCGAGGCTGATCCCAGCTACATTTCCTCTCTCTTCCTCGACGTGTTTTACTATAGCAGAATTACGCACACAAGTGACCTAATGTGTGTGGTCAGTAGAACTCATTTCCAGTAATCGAGTTACGTGGTAACCACTCGTGGCCAAGCATCCAGAAACTAGGGGTGAGTGTTGTGTCAATCACACGGGGAAGGAAGTCAGCTGGTGAGGTGGACCAGCTGTCTGGTCATGTCGCGGAGGATGGTGGCCAAGAAGAGGGCTCAGCTGGCGTATCTGCGCACCCAGAGCGCACCTATTCATATCCTCGGCAGAAAAGGGTAAGGCAAACATACTTTGTTTTCGTTTCATGTTAAAGAAATTTCTATATAATGTGTACAGATTCCAAATTCATTGTTTTCAAAGACAGTTGCGGTTATCCTATTTACTAAAGTGAGGTGAGCATCAGACGTCGCTGCTCCATAATTCTCAGAAACCCATACATGACTCTTTTCAAATTGGTTTTCAAATTGGAACCTGCGCCAGTGAACGATTTTTTTACATACGTTCATGTTTATTGCAATAATGTGTTCAGGGGAGGAGTGTGAGGGAGTGTGTTCAGGGGAGGAGTGTGAGGGAGTGTGTTCAGGGGAGGAGTGTGAGGGACTGCGTTCAGGGAAGAACTGTGAGGGAGTGTGTTCTGGGGAGGATGCTTAAATTGAGACAGAGATACAGACAGACATTAAGTGCATCTGGTCTCATTAAATCCAACATTCAACGTCCTTCAGTAGACTCAGTCATACATGACCAGGTTGTGCCCAGACTACTTTATCATTACTTTTACACTGCACTATTGTTGTCGTTGCATAAGGATCACTGTTATATGGATTGAGGTCCAGAGCCTCCGTAGTCTTTACCATCGCCCACAGCATGGTATTTGGGAGCATAATAAATGAACACAATCAGTAAATTATAAATTATATAATGTATAGTTGCTGCTAGGGAAATATTAATTACTATACCTTAAGTCACAACAAAGCTCTGCCAAAAGAAAACGTTGCATAGAAAGGGAAGAAAAAGAAGTGTTCTGTTTTATTAACACAGTTGAGCGGCATCTTCAGCGAGCGGTGTTTATTATGAAGGCGATGACGTCCTTGATGACGTCTCTGAGAATACCTTGTGATGTCATGTCGTGCAACAAGTAGCAACAGAGGCTCTGGCATTTGCGACGAGGGTGGGGGGGATAGTAGTAGGTGATGGCATACCCTGGCGAGGAACATTCCGGTGAGTATGCCCTGCTGTCGAGCTGCGAGCATCCTCTGCCATAGAGCAGGGAACATTACCATGCGGGAAAAACGAACTTATTCACATAACCCAGCTTGTCTGATCGTTCATAAGCTGTCCCAACATCATAACCCAGCCTATGGTATAAAAGTTTCTTAATATTTAAATTGCATTCGTCTTAGCTTGTAATTTGAGGATCCTCTCACCATAGCAGTGTTTATATTCTCTCGGACTTAGACTTAGATTTACAAGATTTATGCGTAAATGATTTATACAAAATAACGAGTTGTTCCGCAGCTCGAGTTCTGAGAAGGTTTAAAGCCCTAGCGTGTATAGTGAAAAGTGTTGAGCACCGTGTGTAGTGAGTACCGTGTGTAGTGAGTACCTTGTGTAGTGAGTACCGTGTTCTGTGAAAGTAATGCTTCAGTAAAGATTGCATAGTGGAAAATCTTCACATGGGTCGATCTTGACATGATGCCTGAGAGGACTAGGAGAGAGCCAATGTATGTTGGATGAGTAGGGGAAAAGTAGTTAGTTTTATGGTCACTTGGGGGTCTTTCTTCTTAATGAAATAATACATATATTTAAGAGGGACTACCTGGCTCAGTGGTGTTACAGTTTGATAAGGAAGATAATGGATGCGTTAATGTCTGGCATCTAGGTTGTGGCCTCATTAGTCATCTGGGGCCTAACGTCAAGTTGTTTGGACTTAATATATTTTCTTAGCTGTCATAATTTATAGCTGCTTGTGTGTAGCCGTTTAGAAAGATTGCCACTTACCTCTTCATTTATTCAAAGCTTGGGAATGCTAGAATGATCACTTGGATATCGTGAGATCTGTTAGTGCATTACATTTATACAATAATATACGGAACAATTTTGTAAAGAAAACTAACTTACAGAAGTTATTCCTAAAATTTATTATAGGATAAGGTTTAGATTCATTATATAGGTTTAGATAAAAATTAATAATAGCAACAATAATAATAATAATAATAATAATAATAATAATAATAATAATAATAATAGTTATAAAATTGATATTAATGATATGGTCAAAATTTTTGTTATTCTATGTAATGAGTAAATATAGTATAATGTAAAGGATACCGTTGTACTAGTAGCGAACGTCGATGGGTTAATGGGATTCTTAAGGCTCAGAGTATAAGGGATAACGAATATTTATACTCTGGGGATCCAGTTATGGGTCAGGATTAACATGGTGTTACCCAGCTTAGTCTCACAACCCGGGGGAGAAGAAAAACATAATTTCCTAAAATCGGAGCAGATTTGTAAAATTTGTTCTCTCATTTTTGTGCGAGTTGATTTAAGCTGAGGATATTACAGTCTGCTACACCTGTTCCTACTAATAAATGCGCGCATTTGTTTTGTATTTGCATTAGTTTATTTTTAAATGACTGCACTTTGGCTGTAGTAAAATGACACTAAAAACAACCCTCGCAATTTTGTTTATGGAAAAAGAGGGTTATAGCCGACGGCTCAAAATATCGACGGTGGGGAAACCAGACTCAGTATTTTTCTCTCTCAAAGATAGAGTAGTAATTCCGACATACATGGAGTTTTCTCAGAATTTTCTTCGAAATATTTTCTTGGGTTAGGGTTTTCTTCCAGCCTTGTCTTCATGCATATTCCTCTTCCAGCTCGCGAAGTCGTCATTCAGTGTTTCAAATTTGCATAATATAACTCAATCTGCTACAAATTGCTTTATTTATTTGTTTTTCTTTTTAAGTGAACAAGTTACTCTAGGTACCTTTTGCAGTTAGCACTGCCATTGACAATGTTCCCAATTCCAATATTCCTTCTTGGTTGGAAAGCAGGTCAGTGTGAATTAAGGTCACAGCTGAAACTTGAGAGAGAAATCGAGAACTTCCCTCGCGAGGCCCTGAAAGGTTCTCATGTCCGAAAGCAAGCAATGAATGCATGTTGATTCCCAAAAAATCATCAGGGTTAACATTCCCATGAGAATCATCATCTTGTATATGGATAGTTCACGCTCAAAAACATAGGTCACCTCATATGTATAGATAGTTCACCTCACAGATATAAAAAGATCATCTAATGTACATAAGTAGACGGGCTCACCATAGCCCGTGCTACATGGATATTTTGTTCAGAGTATCTGAATCTAAAATAACAACAACAATCCCTCTATTCTTACGGGCCACCTCTTGGGTGGCTTAATCTTCATCAATCTACGTTAGTAGTTCATGTCACGTGTATAAATAGGTCATCTCACTTGAATAAATTTGTCTTCTTACGTGTATAAATAGGTCACCTCACGTATATATAGGTCATCTCACGTGTATAGATAGGTCATCAAACGTGAATAAATCGGTCATCTCACGCGAATAAATTGATCATCTCATGTGTATAAACACATGAGATGTGTTTATACACATGATCATCTCACGTGCATAGCACGTCATCTCACGTGTATAAAAACGTCATCTCACGCGTATAAACGTCATCTCACGGGTATAAATAGGTTACCTCACAGGAATAGATCACCTGTCAGACCTCCAGCCGCTATTCCATCCACATTGTAGTCGATAACAGCGACTTGTTCAGTGATAACTTGCTCCTTGAGGCTGGTGTTTGCAGTGGTCTGCAGTCCCACATACAACAGCCTAGCTGATCCGGCACTTTTTTTAGGAATTGGTCCAGTTGTCTCTTGAAAACATCCACTTTTGTTCCGGTAATATTTCATATACTTGGTGAAAGGAAGTTGAAAACCTGTGGGTCTTTGATGCTCATACAGTGCTTTCTGTGCTTGTCTGTGTTCTATGTGGAAAATAGGCATAGTGAAGAACAGTTTCTGCTCTTCACTGTGCCTATTTTGTACTTCCTACTATATCTTTTGCTGCTGCAAGCTGTTATTTTATTTTACATACTTAGGAGTCTGATCTTTCAGTATCCATGTATATATATTATGTGATGCATCTCGTCTTCTTTCCAGAGAATACATTTTCAATACTTTGAGACAGTCCCAGTAATTTAGGTGTTTTACTTTGTGTATGTAGTATGTTCTCTGTATTCCTCCTATTTAAAAAAAAACTTCTGTTGATTAGAAAGAGAAAGTGATTTGAAAAGAAGCATTATTGTGGTGGCAGCCCTGGATTTGAAGCTTATCATAATCTTCCCTATCATTTTCCTGGTTGATTCTACGTCTGCTCTGTTAGGTCGTTTAACATATTCATAAATATGTCGTTTCCCTTTCTATAAGAAGATCTGTTTGCGTCATGTATCTCAAACTACAGGTTCTCCTTCTTTCCATATCTAAGTAGCTTGAATTTATCGCTGTTGGACGAAATGTTTTACGTTTCGTATTGGAAGAGATTGCTGATATGTTTATTGTTTTTAGTGCTATTACTGAAACAATGTTGATGTTGATTTTAATTTCGTCTGCAAAGGAAAACACGATTTGATTTTTGTTTTGTCTAGTATGAGAATGAGAGAGTAATGATACGAGGACAGTACTTTTAGGCTCCAACCTATCCTCACACCAAGTCCATTCCATCCAGCAGTTGACCCCAAAGACGCATTCATTAATTTTAATATGCTGTTCATTCAAAACCGGGATTTTCTCAAATATACATTAATATTATTATATATTAACATATTGTGCATATTTAGGCATTGGCTAGGTTAGGTGTTTAGGTTCTGTTGGCGATTATTTGTATTTGTAGTAGGTGGGTGAAGCATTTACAGTGTTGTGGTTCGATCAGAATTCGTCAGTGAAGCACTTGTTCCGGAAGTGCTTGAACGAAGTCAGTTGTGAGTCGCGTGTAAACCGTTTTTCATTCATAAAGAGGGGGTTTGGCGGGTGCATGGAATCACTTTTGGGTCTCTGTTTGGAGGACGGGCTGGGATTTGATGGGTGCATGGAATGGACTTTGGCCTTTGTTTAAGAGGACAGGGTGGAGGTATAGAGCTTTCCTCTGCTTTCTGGCTTCATTTGATTTGTTTTACCGTTACTCTTTATGACCACTTTGTAAGGAAATGTTATATTCATCTCCCCATTTTGTCAGGTATTTCTTTGGACCTCATTTTGAGTTACCACTCCATGGTCACATGTATCAAATGTGGACCTGTGCTCTGCAGTTCATGTTTTTCCATAAAGCTAGATATTTGACTCATAATCGCTCTCTCAAAACCTTTATATTGTGTGACAATACTATGGCAGGTCTATAGGACAGAGAGGGTAAGGGTGCTACATGAAGATAAAGGAATAATAATAAAGAAAGGTAGAAATTTTAGATAATTAGATAGAAAATGTAGTCCTTTCTCATGATTTGTCATGCGTTAAATTTGAAGTGGTTTTGTCTGATCAGACGCGTACAAACCTTGACAGCTCACTTAATCTATTGAAGTCGATGCTCATCACTCCGAGGGAACCTCACTAATGTTGCATTTGAATGTTTTGAGTGGCGCACTTTTATCTGTTTTGACAGTGTTAATGTCTGCGTTCTTGACGAATGTATTCATGAATGTATTCATGCATGTTCAGTGATCATTTTGCTCTGCTCTACCTCGGCTAGATAATGGAATTATTATTAATGATTAATGATCCTGGGATTTAGCTGCAGGGGGCATTGTGTGAAACCCTGATTAGGCT